TTGTAGAATAATCTTTTTGTATACTGTGAAGATGTGTCTTGGCCAAGGCGCCTTCTTAATGGTTCAATAAAAAGCTAAAGGTAGGCAGGATGTATAGGCAGGACAGCCAGACACAGAAGATGCTGGGGAAAAGAAAGATGGAGTTGCAAGGAGACACCAGGACTCAGAGGAAGCAGTACAGAATAAAGGTAATAAAGCTACGAGGCAGAAAATAAATGAATAAAATGGGTTAATTTAAGTTATAAGAGTTTGTTAGGAACAAGCCTAAGCTATCGGCAAAACTTTCATAATTAATAAGTCTCTATGTGGTTATATGGGAGCTGGCTGGCAGGACAAAAAAGTCTGACTACAGTCTGCATGTATGGTCTGTGCACCACATGTGTGCCTGGTGCCCAAGGACACCAGAAGATGGTGTCAGATCCCCTGGAACAGAAGTTACAGACAACCATAGCTGTCTTGTGGGTGCTGGTAGCCAAACAAAGGTTCTCTGGAAAGAACAGCCAGCGCTTTTAACCACTGAGCCATCTCTCCAGTCCCTGGAAGTACATTTCTTAATATTCAAATATGCAGGTGTCTTAGTTGGGATTACTATTGCGGTAAAGACCATAACTAAAAGCAGCTTGGGGATGAAAGAGTTTATTTAGTTTACATATCCAGCATCACAGTCTGTTGAGGGAAGACAAGGCAGGAACTCAGATCAGGGAGGAACCTGGAGGCCAGGGCTGATACAGAGGCCATGGAGGAGTGCTGCTTACTGGCTTGTTTTCCATGGCTTGCTCAGCCTGCTTTCTTATAGAACCCAGGACCAGCAGCCCAGGGATGTTACCATCCACAATGGGCTGGGTCCTCCCACATCAATCACTAAGTAAGAAAATGCCCTATGGGCTTGCCTACAGCCCCATCTTGTGGAGGCAGTTTCTCAGTTGAGGTTCCCTCCTCTCGGATGACTGTAGCTTGTGTCAAGTTGACATAAAACCAGTCAGCACAGCAGGCTTTCTAGTTACTATTTTTTTTTTAATTTTATAATTTAATTTAATTTTACATATCAGCCACGGATTCCCTTGTTCTTAGTTACTATTTTTTATTGGTTTCTGGCTTAATTGCCCTGAAGTCAGATCATAATTTGAACAACTTAAATTCTTTGAAATGTGTTGGTTTCTGATGCAACGGACCAATTGTGGTACATTATATTTCCCAAAGATGGCCCTGTTTCCCCAGCCACATGCCCCTCTGCAATGTGATCCTGCACTTTACAGAACAAGAGGAGATGGACCCTGTCACTGACCAAGAGAAAACAGCTGCCTTGGTAGTTTTCTCATCCTGCTGGGAAAATGACCACCATGGAAGAAGTATGACGACCCTGAAACCCTACAATGCTTGAGAGAGTCAACACAGGCGGAAAGACTCTGGAGGTGACATGTCATCAGAGGAGAATAAGGCCAAGGAGTGCCACAGAGCCAAGACAGGTGACTAAAGAAGCCACCTTGGATCTAGTCCAAGCATGCCTTTAGACGACTCCAGTCTCGGCTCTTTCTGACCAGAGTTACATAAGAGACACTAAGTGAGAATCATCTGAGCATAGGCAACCCAAAGAACCTTTAAAAACAGTAATAGGGGCTGGAGAGATGGCTCAGCCGTTAAAGGCTAGGCTCACAACCAAAACACAGTAATAGACTGCTATTCTAAGCTCCATATCTTTTTTTTTGTTTTGTTTTTTTTTTTGGTTTTTCGAGACAGGGTTTCTCTGTGTAGCTTTGTGCCTTTCCTGGGACTCACTTGGTAGCCCAGGCTGGCCTCGAACTCACAGAGATCCGCCTGGCTCTGCCTCCCGAGTGCTGGGATTAAAGGCGTGCGCCACCACCGCCCAGCTAATACTTAATGAAAATACGGGAATTAATTTTGACAGGTAAAATTTTGGTCCGATCATTCCTCCCTTTAGGAACAGAAATGCTTACTTTGTGCCACTCTCTGATGGAAGGATATAACTTGTCTTTTATTTTATACAAGCCCACAGCTAAGAGACTGGATTTTTTTTTTTTTTTTTTTTGGTTTTCGAGACAGGGTTTCTCTGTGTAGCTTTGCGCCTCTCCTGGAACTCACTTGGTAGCCCAGGCTGGCCTCGAACTCACAGAGATCCGCCTGCCTCTGCCTCCCGAGTGCTAGGATTAAAGGTGTGCGCCACCACCGCCCGGCGAGACTGGAATTTTAAAGTGTTGGAATTGTTGAAAACTATGGGGATTTTCAAGCTGGACTGGATACATTTTATGTTTTTATGTGGTCATGAGACTCTGTGGACAAGGAATGGAAAGTTATGGCTTAAAAATGATGTTTGGGTGTCTTATTGACAAGGGATAGAGCTGTGTGTGTTAGCTATCAACTTGACAGGATCTGGAATCACCTGGGAGATGGCCCTCTGGGGATTTCGTTAATTACAGTATTGGAAGGGGGAAGACCCACCCACTGTGGGTGAGGCCATTCCTTGGCTGGAATCCTGGACTGTATAAATGGAAAGGGGGAACTGAGCGGCAGCTTGCACGTCTCTCCCCAACCCTTGCTCCTTGTGGCTCTTGTCAGGTCCAAAGAAAACTCCATTTCCCCAAAGTCTGGCAGGTAGACAAAACTGAGCATTCCTCAGGAACCTGTAAAACTGATTCCCCTCTACCAAAAGGAGCCATTTCCCTTATCACCGGCAGAGGGGACAAATGGCCGTCTGTGGTGGCTATTAGTATACCCAAGTGCAAGCTGGCCTGCAGGCTTCCTCAGTAACACAAGTACCTGTTTTATACATTTCAAAGTCCATGCTAGCGTCCTAGCCCTTCTCACCTCCTCCCCAGCGCTTCTCCAGCTCACAGGCTTCCCTACCCCAGCCTCTCACTCTCCTTACAAGCCTGCTATTTCAGCTGTACTCTCTTGTCTGAACTCTGTCCTCATTTCACTTTTTCCCCGTTTCTCTCCCTCTCTCCGCTCTGCTCCTGCTGCTCTCCTGGCCAGGTCTGGTCCACAGTCATGCTCGGTCTACTACTTTCCCTCTGTGCTCTGGACTCTTCCATATGCCTCTGCTATTTCTCCCCCTCATATATACAATAAAAACCTTAACCATACCATGGAGCAGTCATGTTCACCAGTTTTTACAGCTCTACCTTATCTGTGAGCCAGAATAAATCCCTTTCCCCTTAAGTTGTCTTTATCAGAGTATTTTATCACGGGAACACAAAAAGAAACTAAGACATTTGTCGTTTTATTTCTTCACATTTCCAAGTCCTGAAAAATTTATGGTATCGACTGATTTTATTGCTCCTGGTAATATTCCAAGGACACCCCCCCCCCCCCAGCTGAGGATCGAACCCAGGGCCTCAAGCGCTCTACCATGGAGCTAAATCCCCAACCCCCAAGGACATATTATTATATTTGCATTGTCTATCTAAAATATAATCATTTTGTTTGGGAGACAAATGTTGGAGGTTTTTATTTACTATGTACATGTTGGATAAACACTGATTACTCTTACAATAATCCAATGTAAACAACTTAGTGTAAATTTACGTAATACTTTTAATAATTAATTTTAAATCTACAGATAGGCTTAGTTTCTATGTAAAAATCTAATCAATAGAATGTGACTAAGATAAAGTGTTCAGGAAGAGACAATATTTAATGTTTCAGGAAAAGATTATTAACAGGTTTATTTTTTTTTTCATTTACAAGTTCAGAAGGGCTTAACCATAGACACAAAAACAAATAAGAAAAAACTACCAAACAGACAAAAATACAATTCTCAAATGTTGAGGCTGAGAGTTAAAATTTTATGCTATGAAATTTGAGTTTAAAAAAAAAAAAAGGCAGAACTAAGGCTCACATACATCCAAATAATACACACACCAAAAAAAAAAAAAAAAAAAAAAAAAAGAAAAAGAAAAAGGATACATTTTCTTTAGATAATTCTGTGGCTGCCATAAGTTCCAGAAGGACAAACAGGTCTAACAAGATATCTTAAAAAATAATTCCATTTATGTCTCCAGAAAGTAATAAGCCCACCAAACTCTATGTAAGACGTGGTTTCTGTGTTCATGTGGTACTTGGAATTGAACCCAGGACTTGGTACGATCTTGGCAAGTGCTTTACTATCCAAGCTTTGTAACTAGCCTCTTCTAACTTTTTATTTTGAGACAGGGTCTTAACTAAGTTGCCCAGGCTGGCCTGAGCCTTCTACTGTCCTACTTCAGCCACCCAAGAACCTGGGTTACAGGTCAGCACCATGAAGGCCAGCAAAACTGCCTTCTTGAGATTGCCACATTTCTAGATTCATTTAAAAAGCAGAAAAGCCAGGTCCAGTGGCACACACCTACAGTTTCAGCTTATTTATAATGCTGAGGCAGGAGCATTACTCAGGCCCAGGAGTTAGAGGCCAGCCTGGGTAACACAATGAGACCTTGTCTCAAAAAGGGCACAGAATACTGACCCAGAGTTTCCAGCACAACCATCTAGGAAAACAGGGGATAAACAGCAGCCTGGACAATCAGTTTGGGCTGGGCCTCATTCAGTCGCTCTGGCAGGAGGTCCTCTCAAGTTTCCACTTCCTCATAAGCCATAGCATTGGGCTCATGTTCTACCATGGGGACTACAAGGCACCTGACTCACTGTGTTCAGAAACAAACATTTACAGTTCAAGTACAGCATCCTCATTTTTTTAAAAATCAAAATAACAAGACCAGAATCCTAAAGGTTAGCATTTCAATACTGAACCTAGAAAAAATATAATGCAATACTAAAGTCAAAATCAAAAGAGCATTTGACAGAGAGTTCTTTTAAGTATGTTTGGATGACAATAATTCCATAACAATTGTGCACTCACAATTTGTGAATATGTCAAAATGGAGAACCAAAATAATTATGAGTTTTCTCAGGACACACGTTGAGAAAGAAAATAATTCTTTCTCCAGTCTCATTTAAATTATACATATGTCATAATATTTAAAAAAATGTCCAGATGTAAGTACAATTTAACTTAGTTTCCTCTTTAATTTGTTTTTTATAGCAGACATGTTAATTTCATTTTGAACACGATATGCCAAATATCCTGAGCTTCCAGGAATGAAGTCATGTAATTCTCCAAGGAATTTCTCCAAGGCATCAATTGATATATAACCTATAAAGATAAGAAATAGATACATTTGAAATCTCATCACACTATTTTATTTTCAGTGTCTTTGACTTATTAGTTAAAAATTTTATAGAACTTTTTTTTAAAGAACTAAAAAGAAAAAATAATGCTAGTGAGAAGATTCTCAAAGGACAACCTTAGACACCAATCTTCCTGCTCCTACCTCTCCAGTGCTGAGATTACAGGCCTGTTCCACCATGCTCCACTATGTAGTACTGGAGACCAAACCCAGAGCTTTGTACATGCCGCCCAAGCACTCTACTAACCGAGCTCTATCCTCAGCCCTTAACACTGTTTTCTTTCTTCCCCTTAGTTTATAAAACAATGAGTTTTATCATGACCTCGTCATTCAAATATATCACCGTATTTTGGTCTTCTTCTACCAATCTTCCCTCTCCACTGTCCTAGTTTTTTGTTTGTTTGTTTGATTGATTTTTTTTTTTTTTTTTTTGGTTTTTCGAGACAGGGTTTCTCTGTGTAGCTTTGCGCCTTTCCTGGGACTCGCTTTGGAGACCAGGCTGGCCTCGAACTCACAGAGATCCGCCTGGCTCTGCCTCCCGAGTGCTGGGATTAAAGGCGTGAGCCACCACCACCCGGCTTTTTTTTTTTTTTTTTTTTTTTTTTTTTTTTTTTTATTATGTACACAGTGTTCTGTCTGCATGTATGCCTGCAGGCCAGAAGAGGGCACCAGATCTCATTACAGATGGTTGTGAGCCACCATGTGGTTGCTGGGAATTGAACTCAGGACCTCTGAAAGAACAGCCAGTGCTCTTAACCTCTGAGCCATCTCTCCAGCCTTGTTTGTTTTTTGAGACAGGGTTTCACACTTTAACCTAGGCTAGACTGGACCTCAGTTGTAGCCCAGGCTGGCCTTAAACTTTCAGCAATCCTCTGCTTCAGCCTCCTAAATTCTCGGACTATTGGTGTGAACCAACACACTTAACTTTTTCTCCCACTCTTGAAAAGCGTAGATACTTGGTAAGCAACTTTGATTACTGAGAGTGGAATGTCCATATTGGGGCTGGAACATTACAGTACCGAAACCAAAATGACTGGGGATAACTGGCACAGACTGTAACCACTGAGAACTCTCTCTCCAACCACCCAACAGCACACACAGCACATCTGCTCTACAGAGCAGACACCACCTCCAAGCACTGAAAAACTGGGATAATGTTCTCTAGTGAAAAATTAATAGTAAAGTCAGTACTGCTACCAGTCAACACAAGTTATGGGTGTAATTTTGATGCCATTAATAATCTGAAATAGCTCTGGACTGACAGCTGGGGAACCTGCATGGGACCAAACTAGGGCCCCTGAATGTGGGTGGCACAGTTGTGTGGCTTGGGCAGTATGTGGGGCCACTGGCAGTGGGACCAGAATTTATCCCTAGTACATGAACTGGCTTTTTGGAACCCATTCCCTAAGGTGGGATACCTTGCTCAGCCTCCATACAGGAGGGAAGGACTTGGTCCTGCCTCAACTAGATATGCCAGACTTGTTGACTTCCCATGGAAGTCACTCTCTGAGGAGTAGATGGGGGTGGGATAGGGAGAAGGTGGGGGTGAGCAGGAGGAGGGGAGGGAGGGAGAACTGTGGTTGGTATGTAAAATGGAAAAAAAACTTATAAATAAAAATAATAATAATAGTAATCTGAAATAGATATGAATGCCAAAAAAGAAACCTTGCCTAAATGCAGAGAGCTTAAGGAAGGATTCAAAGCTGTTAAGCAGTAACTTGATAACAATTACTTATCATTTGAATGATTATATTTTACGTATAATACAAATGTTTGTGGTTTATACTAATACTAAATACTAATACTAAAATTGCAATCTAAAAGCAAACACTGTACATTAAAAATTCTAGAAGATCCCAAGTATGACTGAATTTAAAAGTACCATCAATAGCAACAGAATTTATACATATAACTTGATTGTTTTAGTAATAAATTCAATTCATAGTTTAAAATTATGAATCTGGCCATTGAAAATTAGTGTCTTTAATTTATTTCAGTCGTGGGTGTCTGCTTCCTTAGCTCTTTTTGAAGCACTACTGTGACAGCCAATGTATATCCATGATCTCTGCCTGATGGATAAGCACTGTGCAAGGAGTGGAGAAAATGCTTATTGCACAGACACTATGTGAGGTTTCTAAATGCTTACTGCACACATATAGAGAAGGCACCAGGCCTTGTACTCACAGAGAAGCACCAAGAGAATCAGGAACGGTAATCAACCATGGATGTCTCCTCAATGGAGGACATGAAATTGAATACTCTGCATTCCATCCAGGAAGCTGAGGGTAAAGGACCTTTACCTATCTTTTTTTGCTATCTGAAGGGACAGACCTCACCCTAATTCCCCAGAATGATTATCCCAGACTCTTCCCTCCCTAGACCATTACCCATCCTTAGGAGAGATGTCCCATGTATTTTATGGCCTGCTGATCTCTGTGCTATCAGTCAGAGACCACATTAGATTGTAGGCCTTTTAGCTATACAACCTACCCTCAAAGTCACATGTACTTTGTAAAAAGAATTTCTATGTAATCACACCTTAAGCCTTATCATGAACCTGGAGTTGGAATTATGGGAATTATTGTTGCCTGGAGACCCTTTCCAAATTCTATTGCATTTAAATACGCCTACAATAAAGTGCCTGGTATTAGCTCCCTGAAGTCTGATCCAGGTTGATGAATTCAATCTGCACCGGGTTTTCATTCTTATTTCTGTACGGTTTGCTCCCCTGCCTGAATACCTGCAGGGACCTCCTCACACATACACTATGTAAGGTTTCTAAAGGCATCAGGAAAGAAATACAAAATTAATTAGCAAATATATTCCTACCAGGGTAAGTGTGCTATCAGCTTTCATCCAGTTTTTGGCTTGTAACTCTTCCTCAGAGGTATAAAATAGAATGTCCCTCCCCCAGGCAGCTCATAGAACTCTGTTACCCCTCTTTTCTGTCTTAGAGCTGGTCATTCTGAACAGAAGTTTACCAGAAAGAAAAAGCACCCTCTGAAAGGCTGACTAACAGGTCAGAACTTCTGACTGCAGAGAGGCTGCCAAGTTACAGCCTTCTTACTAGACATTCCTCTCCCACCTGGGGCTAACCTTAGCTAGCATCCTTGTGAGTAGAGGTAAAATCTTATCTTAGCAGACCTTGAGCTTCCACCAAGCCCAAAGCTAAGAACATCACAGACAGCCTAAGGCCTGTGACAGAGGTTCTCTGCTTGGCTATAACCAACTGCCTACCTGGTGTTTCTACCAATGAATTTATAAAATATCTTCATTTATGATGATTCACTTCATCAAACTGTTACCACATGGGGATGTGGGATTTGGTGTAACCTGAATCTGTGTTTCATGGTCACTTATAGTTTCTAGAAAATATCTCATCTCATTTGCGGTGAGACTTTTTTTCACATCATCATCATAAATTATCTAACCTACCCTTATCTAATTGATGGTAGCTCATAAGATGTTTTGTTCTGGAAGATCCTGCCCCATAGCCTGGAAGGAAGAAGGCTACAGAGAGAGATCAATTTGAGCTTTTGGTATCATATCATACTCTTCCTGTCCCATCACATCTCAACACGGTTGCTGACAGGGACTAGACATTATTCAGAATCAACTATCATCAGTCTCTTATTGATCACAAGTTTTTCCTCTACATTTTAGCTTTGTTTTCTTTTTCTGGGCCAAATTGTGTTTCCTTAATGGTAGAAAATATGGTCATTTGGTATAGCTTTTAGTTGAATGCCTGCTTAGCATGCATGAGGCTCTGGGTATGATTCCCACTAATCACCCCTTACCTCACCCCACTCCTCTGTGTGTGTGTGTGTGTGTGTGTGTGTGTGTGTGTGTGTGTGTGTGTGTGTGTGTGTGTGTGTGTATACATGTGTGGTCACCTAAATAATGAGTTATCTGTTACACCATGTCAAAAATTCAAAAAAAATTACTATGGTCAGCCCATCGCAAATCAGGTATTCAGTCCCAAAGCAACTCTTGGGACTACAGACAAAGCAAGCTTGTATTTTAGATAATGCCTGTTTCTGGGCAGGGGAGATGGTTCAGTGAGTAAAGTCACTTGCTTCCAAACTTGATGACCTGAGTCTAGTTCCTGGTACCCATATGGTAGAAAGGGAACTAACTCCTCAAGGTTGTCTCCTGGTCTCCACATGTACATTGTGGAAAACGAGCCCATAAGCATATGTCATGCACCAGCATGTACATATATACAACAGTATTAGGTAAATTTTAAATATAAAATAACAACTTCATGAAACAGTTACCATGTGGAGCATGGACTTTTGGGGAAACCTGAATCTTTGTTCCTGAGTCATGGTAACTCACGTGTGGCTACAAATAAATGATCTCTTATCCTCTGTGAGGTGAGAGCTGTTTCTTATGTTGACAACGGTCTCTAAGAAGGCCTTAATGAGTGATCTCCATCTCTTGGTATTCACAAACTTGTGTAAACCCTGACTACTTCCTGTGGAATATTCCTTTACACTGTTTGAATATATGTCACTGTGATTGGGTTAATAATGAAGCTGACTGGTCAATAGCTGGACAGGTAGAGGTTAGGTAGAACTGGTAGACGAAAAGAGAACATGGAGACGAAGAGGAAAAGTCTCAGGAGCAGTGAGGAGATGCAGAGGAAGCAGGAGACGAACTTGCTGTACTGAGAAAAGGAACTGAGCCACATGGTAGGACATAGATAAGAAATATGGGTTAATTTAACATGTTAAGAGTTAGCTAGTAACAAGCCTGTGCTATTGGCTGAGCATTTATGATTAATAAGTCTCAGTGTGGTTATTTGGGAACTGGATGGTGGGAAAGAAAAGTCAGCCTACAACTTCCCACTTGGGCTGGTCTATATGTTGGCATGTCACTTCTGAAAACAAGGACTGGATTCTATCTTAGATATTCTCTTATTACTTTTGGACCTCTTACTCTGAAACAAGCTACTATATTTTGAATAGACTTTATGAAAATGTCCATTCAGGGAGCTGGAAAGATGTCACAGTGGTTAAGAGTATTGGCTGCTCTTGCAGAGGACCCAGGTTTGATTCCCAGCACCCACATGGTGGCTCACAACTGTGTATAGCTCCAGTTTCAGGGTATCCAGTGCCTTACTCTAGTCTCTTGAGATATCAAGTATACAGGCATACATGCAGACAAAACACCCATATGCATTAAAAAAAAGTCGCCGGGCGGTGGTGGCGCACGCCTTTAATCCCAGTACTCGGGAGGCAGAGCCAGGCGGATCTCTGTGAGTTCGAGGCCAGCCTGGGCTACCAAGTGAGTTCCAGGAGAGGTGCAAAGCTACACAGAGAAACCCTGTCTCGAAAAACCAAAAAAAAAAAAAAAAAAAAAAAGTCCATGTAATATAAAGTGTTTGGCCAAAACTCAGCAAGGACCTAAGGTCTGTCAAGTATCACTCATGAGTAACCTCTGACGTGGATTTTTCCACTCCCAGTTGTGCCTCCGAATGATTGTAGCTTTGGTGACAATTTCACTGAAAATTTATGGAACTCTGAAATAAGTCATCAGTTACTAAACTCCAGGACTCTGACCCTCTGAAACTATAAATAATAAACATTCATTATTTTGGTTTTGTTTTTGTTTTCTCTGATGTATGTTAACCTGACCTCAAACTTGCTAGTTGTAGTTGAGGATGACCTTGAGCTTCTTATCCTCTTGCCTCTACCTCTGCAGTGCAAGAACTACAGGTGTGACACCATAAACAGTTTCCATGGTGCAAACACTATACCAACTGAACTGGAGGCCCAGGGCCCTGGGTTGGTTTGTTTGTTGGAGATAGTCTCAACACTGTAGACAATACGGTCTGTAACTCACTGTGGAGCCCAGGCTACAGATTCATAGTACTTCTCTTGCTCAGTCTCCAAATGCCTGTTTTTATAGAAACTAGCACCCATGCCAGATACATGGCCATTGCTTTAAACTGTTAATTTCTGAAATGATTTGTTACATACCAATAGATACGTAAACAGTAATTATTTTGGATTGTTGATTTATTATTAGAATACTTTGGCTTGGAATTTTTGTCAGTAAGGTATTTAAATTGTTAGTGATGATTTTCTTCTCTCTACTAATCACAAATATAACTTATCAATCAGAACGTCTTATTGTAGATAGTAATAAGTGATAAACTGAGGTGATTAAAAAAAAACAATTAAAAAACAGTATTTTGGGAGCCACTTGGCAAAGTCTGGAGATACTTTTGGTTGTCACAGTTGCGGGAAGAAGTTGTATGGCTGGCACACAGTGGGAGACATCTTACAACCATGCTCAAAGCTGATGCTCATCCATCTCTGTCAAGAGAATAGTTTGGCCAGCAGTGCCAACAATGCTGAGAAGCCCTATTCTAACACAAAGCTCCAGCTTGTGTTTTCTTGTAACTAAAGACCTCAATTAATTCTGTTTTCAGAAACTTAACATGTTGTCACTGAACTTAACCCACTTAAGGGAGGAAGAGTCAAACAGCAACAATGTTACTAGAGTTTGTTAGGTTTAGAGCCTGGACTCTGGCAGCCCTAACAGGCCAGGCGGGGTCACTGCCCTCAATAGTCCAACTGGAGAGACTCAATGGTATAATGTGTGCTTAATGAAAAGCTTCAGGTTTGGGCTTCAAGGGGGATGGTACACCGAGGTACACTATCCTTGAGATAACAGATTTATTAAATGTAACAATGAAATGTTAAAATCTAGCTGCTACTTGAGCCATACTACTTTGCCAGAGCCTCCCCCTTTCAGATACTGACAGGCACCCTACTGAGACACCAGCTCCAAGTCCCCAGCTAACAGACTTCCTGGTGCTAGGATCTCTCATCTGGGAAGGTGAGCTGACATCAAAGGGGTGTGGTTGTATATCCTGCTTACTACCATTTCCCTGTCTCATGGCTGGGAAACCTCCCCATCCTCAGAAAGTATAAAAAGAAACCACACTTCTGCCATATGGGCTCTGATTCCTATCTCTGCCATGTAGTCTGTGTCTGGTGTTGGGGCCTGAACTACCCCCAGAGCCCTCACCATGTTGTTGTCTGCCTGCTGTCCATGACAATAACTTCTCTAAAAGTCTCCAGTAATCCATTTCAGCATATCTCTCGAACCACCCCCAATTTGAAACCTTTCGTTAGAAGAATTATTGACACCATAAACATATGGACAGCAGAATGGAGGTCCCTTCTTATGGGTCTCAAAGGAAAGGGGAGGTTCCATGTTATATGGCTGGTGAGTAGTCCACAGAAAGGGCCCAGCTGTCTCGGGCTCCACAGAAAAGCCTGATCCTAGGCATGTATGAGACCTTGAGTTCAACCTCCAGCATTACAAAAACAAAAACAAAAGAACTGATCCCTGAATGTCAGAAATAAATTGCAACTGTCTCATGCAAGCAAGAGTAAGCATCCCTCCTATCTAGAGACCCCTGCCTTGGCACAGAAAATATGAAGCCCATGCTTGGTCCATTCTGCAGATTAACATTTTAGGAGATGAATGGCACCTCTCCTATCATCATGGTAAAAGAAAAGCTCTGCTTGGTAACAGCTTGGTTCTACCCAGTCCCCCTGCTTCTCCCCTAGCTGAGGTAACTCTAATTTCTACTTCAGGTTACCTGTTACCATGTTGTTCACTGGATAATTCTGAAGAGGGAAGTACATCTGCTTTTCTACAACCGGAGTTGTCCTTATAAAATCATTCTCTGCACTATAAAAATGGAACATACAGAAAGTCACATTTATATTTGATTTTTTCATTTATATTACAAATGAAGATTTATTCCAGACAATGTATATAATAATTTAACACTTCTTTAATCAGGTTTTAGACTTACTTACTGAAATATTAATTGTAAGTTTTCTTTTGTGATACTAACAAAGACCAGAGCTTATATACCTGCTTTTGGTCTTCTTAGCTACTTCACAAGTCAAACAATTATTGAATAGAGGCCTAGGTCATCTCAATATCTCCCAAAGCACAGTAATAATTTGTAATAAGATAACACAGGGCTAGGAATATATCTCAGTTGTAGGGCTTTTCCCTAGCATGCATGAGACTGGGTTCAATTTCCAGCACTGTCAAAAATGTAAAATAATTTATTATGTACATCATAATCAATACATATATGTATACACATGTGAAATCTTACATATGCCAAAAGAAAAGCACAGTAGATTATATAAATGGTCACAGTCTTTTGTTATTCAGTATTCAAATAATTGAGACTCTATGAACCAGTACACTTCACCATACTTCAGCACAACAAAAAGAAACAAGGTCAGGGAAACCATGAAATACAGTGAGATTTTTAAGTAACTTAAATAAATAAGGTTTACCTTAGATCATGAGCCTGCCTATTTAAGACCAGATGGCAGCCTAGAAGAAATCAGCCCACACCTCCCCTATAGTCTGTCCTCTGAAGCAAAGAATTGACAAGCTCTGTGTTATCACACAAGCCTAGATGGGTCCCCCTCCTTTTTGTGGGGGGAGGGTTCAAAATAGTTTCTCTGCATAGCCCTGAATGTTCTGGAATTCGCTCTGTAGACCAAGCTGGCATCGAACTCACAGAGATCTGCCTGCCCCTGCCTCCCAAGTACTGAGATTAAAGGCATGCACTGCCACTGCCTGTGTGGTAGTTTGAATTTAACTGGTCTCGATAATCTCACAGGGAGTGGCACTATTAGGAGGTATGGCTTTATTGGAGTGGTATGGTGTTGTTGGAGTAAGTGTGTCACTGTGCATGTGGGCTTTGAGGTTTCCTATGCTCAGGATACTGCCCAGTTTGTCAGTTGACTTCCTGTTGCCTGCAAGCCAAGATGTAGCCAGCACCACGTCTAACTGCATACCACCATGCTCCCCACCATGATAAGGGACAGAACTTCTGAAACTATAAGTGAACTCCTCAATTAAATATTTTCCTTCTAACAGTTGTCATGGTCATGGTGTCTCTACACAGCAATGAAAATGCTAAGACAACCCCTTTGGGAAAGAGTTGATAGAATATTAAATGCAAAGTCAAGGGACTTCAAGATGACCTCAGCTCTAGAAATTGTGTCTTATTGTAAGAGAAGAGATATATATATATACTATTCAGTGGTAGAATTATTTCTGATTTAAATTTCCTTTATTCTTTTCTGTATGTCTTATTTTCATGAATTTGCATGGATTTGCATTTTTTAAATTTTGGCATTTTTGAAATAGGGTTTCATAAAGCCCAGGTTGGCCTCAAACTAGCTATGTAGCTGAGGATAACTTTGAACTTCTAATACTGTGTTCACCTCCAGGGTGCTGGTTTATGCAGTGTTAGGGATCACACCCAGAGCTCCATGCACACTAGGTAACCCTATAACACTGAGCTACATCCTCAGCCTATTATATTTATTTTTAAATAATTTAAAACAACAACAAAAAGTTAAAATGCACGTGGCTTTAGAATTTGAGGAATATTTGGGGAAAGGAAAATAGCACAATGGTTAAAAGTTTGGACTCCACATGGTTTCAAATTCAGCTGTGCTTTCTGAATAAAACTGAATAAATTACTTAGCTCTTCAGATCTGTTTTCTCAACTGTAAAATGAATGGGACTGATTGCATATCTAAGTGGTGAGAATCAAATGAAATATTGTAAATTGCTTGTCTCACAAATACTTAGCAATTGTTCAATAATAGCATTCCTTTTAGTATGTGCTCGCTGTCATTTAGTAAGTAATGCTTCATACATGTATTTTAGGGTATATTTTATTTATGTTCATATTCCACCATCTGGTGGTTCCACAAAGAAATGGCTCTACAGATGTAGTGGAGTTCTCTAGCATAACATGACAGGGCTACTGAACACATGAACTCACAGTGGCTATGACAACATGCATAGGACTACACAAGATCAAGCCAGCCAACATCCCAGCATGGGTAGAGGAGGGGCTCATGAAGCCTCAACTCTAGCTGAGAAGTTGTTGGCCATAGAGAGCTGCTACAAGAGTGAGAATAAGTTTTCTTCGGGGATGCAACCCTTGAAAGGCTGCTCATGCTCCTGTAGATGGTCCAATACTCATGCACATAGAGGCAGCACTAAGTAGACCCAGTGGGTTTTTAAAGCAAGAAGCACCAGGCAGTGATGGCGCACATCTCTAATCCCAGCACTCAGAAGGCAGAGGCAGGTGGATCTCTGTGAGTTTGAAGCCAACTTGCTCTACATAGTGAGTTCCAGAACAGCCAAGACTACTCAGAGAGAGAATACATGAAATTGAGGGAAAGAGGGGAGTTAAAGAATTAGAGGAGGGGTTGGGGGTGGGTTTGATCAAAATTCATTATATGCACTATGAAATTCCTAATTAAAAAAGGAAAATTGAAAAATAAAAGGCAAAGCCCAGCAGTGGTGATGCACACCTTTAATCCCAGCACTTGGAAGGCAGAGGCAGGCAGATCTCTGCGAGTTCAAGGCCAGCCTGGCCTACAGAGTGAGTTCCAGGACAGCCAGGGCTACACAGTGACAGTGAAACTCTGTCTTGAAAAAAACAAAAGGAAAAGAAAAAAAAAGGCAGAAACCTAGGGCATATTCACATAATTGGTCTTTGTTTTTTTAAAATGTGACAGAGTCTTCCTATGTAGCCTAGTAGTACCATGCCTGGCATTTTTGTCATGTATGCATGCATATTTGTATGGGTGCTAGTGTGAGTGCGCACATATATGAACATGCATGTGGAGGCCCAAGGTTGATATTAGGTGACATCATCAAGAGTTCATCACCATATTTTGTTATGTATTTATTTGTTTTTGTTTTATGTGCATGAGTGTCTTGCCTGCATGTGCACCACATGTGTGCCTGGTGCTCTCAGAGGTCACAAGAGAGTGTCGTACCCCCTGGAACTGGGGTAACTGATGGTTGTGAGCCACCATGTGGGTGCTGGAATCAAATCCCGGCACTCTGTAAGAGCAGTAAGTGCTCTCAACCATGGAGCCATCTCTCCAGCCTCACTTCTACTCTTTCTAATTAAAGTTCGTACAACTTCGGACAAATTAATCTTTTTTATCTTAGATCTCTTTTTCTATAAATGGGAATGGTGATAATGATAATATTAATCTCAGAGGAACTGTGAAACTAAAATAAATCCACAATCAAGCTCAAAGATTTCTCCATTAGGTTTGAACAGCACTGAAGCACAGTAACTCCCTACCTTTCAGACCACTCTTTCTTGTGTTCTGTGGTTGGCTCACTGCTTTCCCTCTCATTTGATGGTATTCTGTCATGCTGCAAACAGCAAAAGAAATCACATTTGTAAAATTTAGCACACTAATTATCTAATCATTAATTTTTAAACTAAATTAAAATATAATCAAAGGCTATTTAAATTTATTTTTTTAGTTCTAGTCATTGTAACCTGGTAGGGAAGCTTATGAAATTTTGTATATATACTCATATAATCATGCTTTTAGAAGAGTACAAAGAAGGAAAACCAGAATTTAAATACCAGCTATAGTTGTAGCAAGTAACTGAACTTTGTTTGAGGGAAGAAGAAGAATACAGAAAGGAAGGAAGAAAGAAAGGAAAAAAAATCAAACATTACAAACTTAAAGACTTCTTAAAATCCTTGACTTCAGGATTCTCCTACTTACAAATCAATAAAAAAAAGAGCTGAATGAATTGTTTCCATTTTAAAGTGATGGTAACAGAGATATGTTTACTCTGAAGTTGTAACAAAACTAAAAGTATATTATGCTTTTCCAAAACACGTGTAAAAATGACTCAGATGCTTATACCTAATGCATTTAACAGAATGTCATTAGAAATTCCATATTTAGATAGTAAATTTTCCCTAAGCAATAATAATGCTCCAAATTACTTTCCAGATTTATCCTTGTTATTTTCATTTGAAATCATAACTTTCTACTTATATATTATGTGGTTACAGTATCATAATTAGCTAATATTCAACATTGATAACTACTTTAAAGGAATTGACAAGATCTTTTATCAAATAATAATGTCTAGCCAATAATCAATAGACGTATGTTATTAATATTTTTATTTTTATTTATCTGTCTGCCTGTGTGTCTGTGTAAATGTATGTCACATGAATGCAAGTGCCCACAGAGGCCAGAAGGGCTCATTAAAACCCCTGGAGCTACAGTTATAGGCACCTGATGTAGATGTTGGGAGTTCAGTGGTGAACTGAATTCTGGTCCCCTGAGCCATCCCTCCAGCCTTATACTAACTTTTAACAGAAATGACATTAGATTAGGTGGAGGCTAAGAAAATTTGGTTTCATTGTGCTAATATATGGTAACATGTACTAAGACAGATTTTTTTCCCTCTTCTGTTTATGTCAGCATTTTTATTTATAAAATTAAATGATCTTTAGGTTCCTTTTAAGTCCCATAGTACTAGTATACTGAACAATTGGCAACTAATTTTTAAAACTCATCATCACTTGTATAGAAACACTGACAAATCTGAGATTAGATATTTTCAGAACTTATCACCTCCAAGCCTAAGGTCCTGAAGAGACTATGATTTCCAAATGATGACACTCAGAAATAAAAACAAATTAGTGGGGCTGGTGAGACAGCTCAGAAATCAAGAGTGCTTGCTGCCAATCCTGATAACCCACAGGGTGAAGGAAGAAGGCCAGCTTCCCCAAGTTGTCCTCTGACAGCTACATGTGTATAATGGCATGTGCATACACACAAAGAAATAAATAGAGTTTTAATTAATGAAAAGAATATGAAGTATATAAATTAATTACTTGGCTGTGGAAATATAGATATTTTCTATTTTTCAGTCTGAAAAAATAACATACTGATAAGTTTTTAAAAATAAAATAGTACAATACCTTGCACTTAGAGATATTTTTGCTACTTTGAGTGTGCTCTTTTTCAGTTTTGTGAGACCATTTGAAAATATAACATTTCTATTTCTTAAGATCTAGCAAGAATTTTCCCATAAATATATTTTATCTTTATAAATACCATTAGCATACTTAAGAAAATTTAACAAATCATTATTATCTAATATCCCATCAATCAGTTTTCCCACTTGCTCTCAAAATGCCTTTTTTGTTGTTTTGAGACAGGGTCTCACTGTGAAGCCCTGGCTAGCCTGGAACTCACAGAGCTCTGCTTGCCTCTGCCTCCCAAGTGCTAGGATTAAAAGCCAGTGCCACCATGTCATGTTAAAAATGCTTCTTTTATGTTAAAAATATCTATACATAGAATCTGATCAAGGTTTATATATCACATTTGGCTGTTGTATCTCAATTTAGAACAATCCTTTTGCCTTCTGTGTGACAATCGCTATAGAGGTCAGGCCAACTGACTGACTGTGGCATAGTCACTTCCTGGATTCATGTGATTAATTCATAATTGGATCTCGATTAAGCTTTTGATTAAGAATACAGCATAGACAATATTGTGTACTTATTACAACACAACAGACTAAGAATAATTAGAGGTTATTACAGTATTAGTGACACCAATTTGATCATTTGGTTAAAGTGGTATCTTCCAGATCTGTCCATTTGCAGATATTGCTTGCCTTGGTAATTAGTAAGTAATCTGTGGGTGATAATTCGGGATCATAGTTTTTGCATCTATTAATGGCTCTTTCTAAATCAATTATTATATTGGCAGTTACAGAATGCATATTTTTTATTTTAATTGTGTGTGTGTGTGTGTGTGTGTGTGTGTGTGTGTGTGTGGTGGGGACAAGGCACCCAATATGGTACAGCATGCCTATGGAGGTCAGAGGACAACTTGCTGGCGTTGGTTCTCTCCCTCCTCTATGGAACCTCCCCAGGTCATCAGGCTTGTGCAGCAAGAACTTTGACTCACTGAGCCATCTTGCTGGCCCAGGGAAGGATTCTCTATTTTATCATCCTTTCTGCCTCTATTAGCTGCTATTGCTATAATGAAAAGTTTTATTTATACCACTTTCTTCTTCTTTCTTTTCTTTCCCTGTCATTTTTTCTTTCTGCCTTTGGATTATCACTATGAACTAATTGATTCCTTTTTATATAATGTATCATTATCGATTACTGTCTTCTTTGATACTGAAATTATCCATATTTGTCTATTGCATAAGGATTTTGAAGTCAAAATACAGACAAATTTGAGTAAAATGACAAAAACTAAAATGCAGTATTGCATATCTATTAAGGAATATTCCTCAAAACATTTAACAAGTGATAGATACAGCCCGAGAATTCATCAGAATCTACACCAGCAAATACCAGGCACTTATTGTTACTCTATAGTACTGACTAAAGAAACCAGTGTCTTATTTATTTTTCCAGTACTAGGAATTGAACCAGAGGAATGGTGTGCTAAGGAGGCATTCTGCCACTGTGTTCTACCTCAACCCCCGTTTCTTTTCTTCGTTTTCTTTCTATCTTATTTTGACTGGCTTTCTTGAACTTCTAATCCTCCTGCCCTATCTCCCAAATGTTAGGATTACATGTGTATGGCACCATGTCTGGTTTTTATGCTGGACTGAGGACTAAACCCAAGGCTTCCTGCATGCTAAGCCTGCACTTGAGTTTCTTGTAAGAATAGTTCATTTATACAAAATAATTGTTTTACCATTGCATTGCACTATGTAAAAACCATGTCAAACCAGATAACACTCAACAAAAACATGCTCTTTCCATTCCTTAATCTGGTTCATTGATGCACATATCACAAATTATACTGCCTTCAAAATTTTTGAAACTGCACATCCCAATCAAGTATTTTAATTTCCTCTTACCTTTTCTATCAGAACATTTTCATCTTGTTCCCAAATAAAACTACCAATTTTTCTTCTTATTTCTGTGGTGAGAAAAACAAGTTCAATATTTTTAAACTAATTTCTGGATTTTGCATAATGTTTGAAACTTGTAGGTTATGTTTATTCTACTTGAATCAAAATAATCTCTTTTTTTATTCTACTTGAATCAAAATAACCAGATTCCTACTGAACCAAGGCACTGAAAAGCCCAGGAGTTAAAATTTCCAATCCACTCTCCAGATGATTCCAGTACACTATGCTAATGACTATTCTAGACTTCTTCTTGGTATGGGGTGTGCATGTGTGTTTGTTGTGCAAGTATATGTGGTTGCATGCATACGGACATGCAGATGTCTATACCTGTATATAGCATGCAGAGGCCAGAGGAGAGCACTGAGTATTTTCCTCTGCCTTATTGCCTTCAGACAGGGTCTGTCACTGAACTGGAAGCTCGTTGGTTCAGCTGGACTGGCTGGCCAGCTCCTGGGATCTCTCTGTCCCCATCCTCCAACTGCTGGGGTTACAGGCACTCATGACCATGCCTACCTTTTCATATGGATGTTAGGAATTCAAATTCAGGTCCTTATGCTAGACAAATTCTCTTACCCACTGAGCCATTTCCCTGCCCTTACTTTTTCTACTAGCATATATTACTTCATTAGATATGTGTCTCCATTATGCCAAGTATTAATAAACAAGACAACTATCACAATAAAATACATAAAATTGTTGAGTGTGTAGAGCTGGGTTTCTCAAGAATAAATTGAATAAATATAATTTATTTATATTTAGTAAATTATAAATATAATTATAATTTATAATAAATTATAAATAAAAAGAATATAATTTATTAATTTAATACATTATAATAAATTTATAGATAAGCAATGTCTAGTAGACAGGAATTCTATAAAATTCAGTGTGTCTGGTGACTTTTATTATCTTAATAATCTCAAAATTTGGGGGGGCGGTGGTGGTGCACGCCTTTAATCCCAGCACTCGGAGGCAGAGGCAGGTGGATCTCTGTGAGTTCGAGGCCAGCCTGGTCTCCAAAGTGAGTTCCAGGAAAGGCGTAAAGCTACACAGAGAAACCCTGTCTCGAAAAACCAAAATAATAATAATAATAATAATAATAATAATAATAATAATAATAATCTCAAAATTCTCCACAACAGCCCACTGGAGGACAAAAGGGTCTAATTACACTAGACTTTTGCTGACCAATATGGAAGCAATGTAAATGTATGCTTAGTCAAATTGAGGTATGGTGTAAGTGTAAAATAAGAACTAGATTTTGAATACCTGGTATCAGAAAGAATATAAAATATTTTAATAATTTTCATACTGATTACATATTGAAATGATAATCTTTTCAATATTAGGTTAATAAAATATAATCTTAAAATTAATTTTGCCTACATATTTTTAATACGGCTACTAAAACTTTTTAAACTCACATAGTTCACAGTGGCATATTACACATCTACTAGGCCATACTGCTCTAAGTGGTTTGAATGAGAATGGCCCCACAGGCTCATGTTTGAATGTTTGGACCCCAGTTGGTGGAACTGTTTGGAATAGATCCTCACTGGAAGAAGTATGTTACTGGTGAAACTGGTAAGGGAGGATCCTCATTGGCGAAGTATGTTACTGGCAATGGATGTGAGGTTTCAAGGGACTGTGCCACTCTCAGTGGTCTCTGCTTCCTGTTTGTGGATCCAGATGTGAGCTGTCAGCGCTGCTCGAGAGCCATATGCCTGCCTGCCTGCTGCCACGCTCCCCACTATGATGGTCATGGACTCCTATACCTTTGTTAACTGTAGGTCCCAAATAAACGCTTCCTTTTATAAGTTGCCTTAGTTGTGGTGTTTTATCACAGTAATGGAAAAGTAACTAAGATAGTGATATACCTTTTTTTTTAAGGAGTATGTTTTCATTTCAAACGGATTTTTTTGTTTGTTTGTTTGTTTGTTTGTTTGTTTGTTTGTTTCGAGACAGGGTTTCTCTGTGTAGTTTTGGTGCCTGTCCTGGATCTCACTCTGTAGACCAGGTTGGCCTTGAACTCACAGAGATCCACCTGGCTCTGCCTCCTGAGTGCTGGGATTAAAGGCGTGTGCCACCACAGCCTGCTCAAACAGATTTTTTAAAGACTTAAATATATGTTAATAGATGTTAAACTCAGAGATAAAATAGGAGTTATAGTTTAAAATAAGGTTAATGATACAATTATAACAAGCTCCTTGAAGGCAGCTTTTTGGCACATATGTTTTTTTTTTTTTTTTTTTTTTTTTTTGGTTTTTTGAGACAGGGTTTCTCTGTGTAGCTTTGCACCTTTTCCTGGATCTTGCTCTGTAGACCAGGCTGACCTCGAACTCACAAAGATCCACCTGCCTCTGCCTCCCGAGTGCTGGGATTAAAGGCGTGCGCCACCACCGCCCGGCACATATGGTTTTTGAAGAGAGTTTGAGGTCAGTCAGGGCTACATAGCAAAAACTTATCTCAGAATTTTTAAAAAGTTGCTGGACATGATAGTACCTATCTATAATCCTGGCACCCATGAGGCTGAGACAGGAGGATAGCCATGAATTTGAAACTAGCCTGGGCTACAAAATTAGTACTAGGTCAGCCAGCGTGACATAACAAGACCCAATCTCAAGAATGAAAAAGAGAGGTTTAGATAGAAAGGGATGAAGAGAGAGAGAAAATTTTTTTCTCTTTTTTTATTATTAAGAAATTTTTTATTCATTTTACATAACAACCACAGATACCCCTCTTCCCTCCGAGATAGTTATTTTTAACGAATCAATTTTGCCATAAGTCATTAGTTTATTTGCATAACCACTTAGACAATTTAATGTTATAATTAGGTTGTGCAGGAACACTAGTTACAAGAAACCAGTCTGTGGGTTTCTAAGGATCCTGGGGATCTGATGCCCTCTTCTGGCCAGCACAGGTACCAGGCACCACTGCGGGGCACCGACATACATGCAGGCAAAACACCTACACACAGAATAATTTAAACAAGAATTGAGTAACTAAGGAAAGACCTACAAAAATGAGAGCTAGAAGGTTAGGTAGATAACCAAGGTTAAGCTTTGGACAAACATGCTAAGACCATGTTCCAAGCAGGGAAAACTGAAAGGACCAATCTCAAAAGCAGTTTACTGACTTTTCCTTCAGTTGTTGAGATAATGTGAAAGTATTTTCAAAAGTATAATGAAAAATACAAATATGAATTTACTATTATAACAAATATTTAAACAAAAATTAGGATGAAGAGAGTCAACACTAGCAAACAACACATTTATTAAGTACTCACCACATGTGGTATACCTTAATCTATTATCTCATTCTATCCTCAAAATCACTTGGAGGAAGTCAATAGCATGTTAGATCACAAAACTGCTGGGCATGGTGGTGCACATCTTTAATCCCAGCACTTGGGGGGCAGAGGCAGGTGGATCTGTGTGAGTTCGAGGCCAGCCTGGGCTACAGAGTGAGTTCTAGGCCCACCAGGACTACAAAGTGAGACCCTGCCTCAAAACAAACAAATAGAACAAAAACAAAACAAAACAAAACAAAACAAAAACCTCCATAAAAACAAACTAAGTGTTGGATCCCGGCTAGTAAGCACTTGACTTTTGGGGTAATATCTGACTCTGTCTTAGTCACCATTGAATGCAAGCACCTGGGTTGTGACCTGGTAAACAAAGAGAACTCAATGAGTGTGTAAATAAAGAAAGCCAGAATACTCCCTCAAGGTGTCTCTTCCCAAGTCCATACTTATTCTACCTATATTAAATGATTCAAACATTTCTGTGGGTATAGTGGTTCACACCTACAATCCCAGAACTCAGGAGACTGGGATACAGAGTGAGACATTGTCAAAAATAAAAACAAAAAAAACCCCAAAAAGCAAAACATACACACACACACACACACACACACACACACACACACACACACACACACAAAACATCCAATTGAGAACGGAGGTTGGCAAAATTAAATTTGGTTATCCTAAAAGGGATTGGCTGGATTTGGCAAACAGATAGGTTTATGATTTTTGCTAACCTTTTTGCAGACATGCAGGAGGAAGAACAAAATGGCCCAAGGCCACTGAGTTTTTCATCTCAGTGTTAGCTACCGCCGAAAGATAGTAGGCATGAAAAACTGTAGCATTATCTTCTATGTACTCAATGCTCTGATATATTCTAGAAGAAAGGAAATCGTCTAGGTTATGAAATAGACAGGAATGCATTCAACCTTCCAAAAGAAAAACAAATGACTTCAAGTAGGATTACTGCTAACATTAAAGAATACATTTATGATGGTCCTTTTTTCCTGGCAAGAATGAATAAATTTCAGGTCTATTAGTTTGAGGACCTACGTGTAGGCCAATCTCAGCTTTAGAGTGGGTAAATGATTATATAAATTTACAAAAGACCTAAAACAGTAGTCAGCTGGCCATCAACAGTGGACAAGCCAGCAGCCCAAGGAGTGTTACTCATAGTTACTGCCATGAAAAGAAATCAATTAAATCTGAGGTAGAGTGGGCATGCAGTTAGAGAAGCTTTCACATACAGAAAACATCTTTTCTAGGCCTGTGAAAAGAGGGAGAGAGGAAAGACATTAGGAATAAAAGACATACATGAAGGAACAATAACGACACTTAATGTTGACTAGACTACAAAAGACATGGAAAATTAAAAGAGGCTTTAGCTAAATCTCAATCTGTAGGTAGTGGGGCGAGGGCAGGCCAGGAGCAAATCTCCGTTCAGTACTTAAAAGCAGTTATGAAAGGAGATGGCAGGGCACACATGGAGGCAGAGTAGTCCCTTAGGAAGTTCCTGTGACAGTCCTGGCAAGGGGTAATTACAGTACTTGTAAAAGCAGCAATGAGGAGGAAGTACTGTTACTGGAGCCTGTTCTATGGTATTAGGTACCAATTCATTCGTGGTAAGAGCAGTTGGTTAAGATGCCAGAAAGTCCAGTCTGGACACGTGCCTGAAATCTTGGGACTTAGTATGCCAAGACAGGAAGAGCATGAGGTGCAAGGCTAGCCTGGGCTACATTGCAAGAGCCCGTCTCAGAGAAAATAGACAAAAAAAGGGTGGGGGGGGGGTAGATTTTCAGCTTGCAGAACTCAGGACGTACTCCGGTGTAGAGGTGATACCTGGTTGGAACCTGCAACTTTCACGTGACAGCTGGACATTCAAAACCAGGATTCCGTTAGAGACCGGAGGGACAGGTAGAAGGCGAGGGCGGAAGGAAAGAAAGGAGAATGGCATCCCTCATAACGAGGGCTGCAAACTTGCTGTTCCCCAGTGGGGATAACTGGACTGCCACTTCTATGTGTGGCTCTAGCGGGTGGCCCTGGGGTACCTCAGCGTGTCCGGGTGCGAGGCATCACAGCTGAACAGGAAGTCGGCGGCCTGGGCATCGCTGACGGTCCCGCCTTCGTCCACTGTGGAGGCAAGAGCACGCGTGAGCGCCGGGCAGGGCAAGCACCCCCAACCCCGGTCGGGGAGGAGGGCTTCCCGGGGTCACACTGTGCCCCGCCCACCTTCCTACCCCAGAACTGCCTCAAGTCCTGACTGACGCTGCGGCAGAACCAACCACGCTGCCCCTGGAACATGGCGCCGCCTGCCTCCAGGGCGCCTGGGCGGGGCCTAGAGCCGAGACCGCTGATTGGTCCGAAACCAAGCTTGATGATTGGTTCCCAAAAGGAAAGGGCGGGAAAGGCCTCGGGAAGCAGACAAAGAGACGCTAACTCCCATACTTGAGAGAATAGCCACGGAGGGCGAAGTTCGCTGGACCTGGTGAGTTTTAAACACTGAGTAAAGTGTGTGTGTGTTATGTATGTTATATATATAAAATATTTTATATATTATTTTTATTATATATATATAATGTTTTAGAACGTTTCATATAATCCAGGATGGCTTGGACTTTGCTATGTAGTAGGATGCTGATGCACCTATAAACTGCCCAAGGCAAGAAGAAGACACTGAACTGGAGTTACAGGCCATTGTGAGTGGGTGGTGGGAATTGAACACCAGGTCCTCTGGAACATGGGTCCTCTGGAAGAGTAGTCAGTGCTCTTAAACCCTGAGCCATCTCTCCCACCCTAAGAATTATTTTTAAATGTAGTGATGATATCATTTTGTTTATATTTATTTTGGGGAGTATGTGGTGTGGGGTGTGTGTGTGTGTGTGTGTGTGTGTACAGGTCAGAGGACAACTCTCAAGAGCTGGTTCTTTACTTCCACCATGTGGGTTCCAGGGATTGAACTTAAGTGATCAAGCTTAGTAGCAAGAGCTTTCAGCAGCAGCGCTGTCTTGCTACTCACTTATAATTTTTGTCATTTTGAGACAGTCCATTATAACCTAAGCTGGTCTTGAACTTCAACTGAATATGGCCTTGAATTTCCGGTTCTCTTTCCTCCACCTTCAGAGTATTGTGATCGCAGGCCTGGGTCACTATGTCCAGTTTATATATTGTTGAGGATGGAACTCAGTGAAAGGGACTCAGGGTCAGCACAGAACACACCCAGACACCAAATTCTCAGCCTAGAAGGCCAGGCTAGGGCGTTCCTCTTAAACTGAGGGTCACAGGTTTTTTGAGATGTCACTTCTTATTTATTGCTTGGTTCAAATTATTCTCAGATTTCAGTAGAACATTTTGTAAAGTGGGTTATTTGTCTTTTTTGTTTGTTTGTTTGTTTTTGAGAGAGTCTCCATATTATTTACAAGCAAGCCTCAGACTTGTGATCTTATGCTTCAACCCCCAAATGTGAAGATTACAGGCAGGCATAGCTATACACACTGATATATTTTAAAATTTCCAAATACATATGATTTTCTAATTCTAATATATTTACTCATGGCTTAACTGCATTAAAATAAATTACTGGTCTGTTTGATCAAATCTTGAAGTTTGTTAGCGTTTACTTTATAATGGCAGTGTATAGCCCATGAGGTTATATCTTTAAAAAGAATGCTCTTAGGTGTTCTGTATATATGTGTTCTGTATATATGTTTATTGGGTCAAACTACTCATATTGTCTGATTCTCTGTCAATTAGTAGGGAAGCCATGTAAAAATCTTATGGATCTATCAATTAATTCTTATATGTTAAATTTTTATTTGTGTGCAGGTCTTGTACTGCACTACTTTTAATTAGACACATGTAAAGTCATACTTGTCATTTTCTGTTTGTTTGAGTCATTGAGCACTTAAATATGAAAGGCAAAACCTCAAGACACATAGAACACGAGAGAATATTTTTGGCCCCAGGCAAAGGATTTTTTTTAATTGAGACATAGTGTTAACCATGACAGAAAAAAAATTACATAAATTTGACTCCATGAAAATTCTCTTCACCAAAGTCACCATAATTAGAGTGAATATATACAAGTCACAAAATAGGGAAGGTACCTGCAGTGCAAATAATCAAGAAAGGATTAGTGTCCAGAATATATAAGTAACCCTATGAAACAATAAAAGAGAAATGACCCAATTAAGAAAATTCAGCAAACATCTGAATAGACTTTTTATAAAAGACCCGCAAATGACCAATAAACACATGAAAATATGCCTAATCACATGTAGTTAGGGAAATGCAAATTAAAACCACAATGAGATACCATTACATACTGAACTTATTAATAAAAAAAATGGATTGGCAAAGGCAGAGTCATAGGAATTCCTCCTGTCGCTGCTAGTGAGAATGTAAATCTATACTCTCACTTTGATCAACAGTCCAGTGTTACTTAAAGTTATGTGTCTAATGTCAACCAGCATTCATCAGCTATACACCCGGGGAAACTCTTGTTCCCATGTACACATATTATGGCAGCTTAATTGCTAACAGCAGCAATAACAAAAAGGAACAATGGAAACAATCACTATACGCTGGGTATTTAAATTTCTAAATTATGTTTATTTCTTTATTTGAGGGGTGACATGGTTTGGATGTGGAGGTCAGAGGACAACTTGAGGGAGTCAGTTCTTTCCTTCCATCATGTGGGCCCTAGGGATCAAACTCAGGTCATCAGGCTTGGCAGCAACTGTCTTTACCTGCTAGTGATCCTGAATTATACTGTATTTTCATACAATGAAATACAATAGTCCTTAAGCACAGAGGATGCTTTTCAACATCCCAAATGGATGCCAGAAGCTACTAATACTAGGCCCTATATATACTATAATACTTTCCACCACTACACAGATATCACTGTGACAAATTTTAATTTATAAATAAGGCATGGTTAGACATTAACAATTAATAACAAAATAGAACAATTATAAGAATATATTGAACAAAAGTTAGTGTGTTTTCTCTCAACTGCCATGAGGCAGTTAGTATATACATTGTGGATATGCTACTCTATCGATCCTAAGGGGGAGGGGGAGGAGGGCATAAGATTTCATCATACTACTAAGAACTGCATGTTTGATTTATTTGTTTGTTTATGAAGTCCTAGGGATTGAACCCAAACCCTCCAACATGATAAGAAGTCTTTACCACTGAGTTGCACCCCAGTGCTCAGAACCACAATTTTAAATTAATCAATCATTTATGTCTGGAGTTTCCCATTGGTATTTTCAGACTGTGGTTGACTGTAGGTAATTTTAACTGTGGAACATGAAACCATGGATAAGGGAAAGAATACTAGTACATCATAATTTTGAATTTTCAAAAAGCCCAGGAAGATATACAACACCATACCATTTATTTTCAAGTTCAGAAGAAGTGATAAAATGAAAATATATATTTTAGGAATACACGGATATTTAATATAGAAAAGATAAAATAATACATGTATAGAAAAACCAGCTATAGTTTATATTTTAAAAGAATTTTTATATAAAACATATTTATTTATTCATTATGGGTATGCGTGTGTGTCTCAGTATGCATGCATACCACATGCAGGAACCTGAGGAAATCAGAAGAAAGCATCAGATTCCTGAAACTGAAATTATAGGTATTTATAAGCAGCCCTGTGAGTGCTGGGAACTGAACCTGGATCTTCTGCAAGAGTAGTAAGTGCTCTTAACTGCTGAGCCATCTCTGCAGCCCCATACCTTATGTTTTAGTACAAAGCATAGAGTAGTGAATACCTGAAAACTGAGAGAGGCACCCAGGAGCCACCAATGTTTCGTTGCTGTTTGGGTTCTAAAGCTAAGTTATTAGTTAATTAGTCTTTTTTATTATTATTCTCAGAAGACCTCTACATATCTATCACCTGCCTTAATTATTGTGTGTTTTTAGAAGTAATTAAGAAAGTATTTAGTTGATAGGGGAGGAGAGGGGAGACAGTGACAACATCAAGCAAAGTTCCAGGCTCAAGATGAGTCCTCATCACATTCTGGTTGAGGTGAATAGTAAGAGGATAGTAAGAGGCTGGACAAATGGCTCTGTAATTAAGAGCATGCACTGCTCTTTCAGAGAACCCAAGTTGGGTTCCAGCACCCACATCAGGCAGCTCACAACTACCTATAACTCCAGCTCCAAGGGATGCGACATCCTCTTTTGTATTCCACAGGCACCTGCATCCATGTGGCACACACTCAGATACACATGCATACACATAATTTAAAAAAAAATAAGATTTTGTTTAGAAAAATAGTAAGTTTTCAATATATCCTTTTAATTATGTCATGCTAGTTACCTAACTCATCTATTATAAATGTGTATGTGTTGTATAGGAAAGCAACTTTAGATCGGGAATTCCAAGGAGGGGAACTAGGGCCATTTCATCAAGAGTACTGTGGATATCAAGAACTCTAAACCTAGAAAGAAGGAACAAGCTAGACATTGAACAAGTTGAAGAGAGAAGGATGAAAAATGCTGTTGATTAAAAATATAGACAGGACTGATGAAGAAGGACAGAGTCAAAAGCAGATGGGAATATGGATGTATTTTGATCTAGGGGAAACAGGCAACTCTCACTAATAACTCAGGAAAAAAAGAACTGAAAAGAGGGGAAAGAGCCAAAGATTTGCTAGACAAAAAAGTATGTTGAGTGCATGCAGGAAGACATGATTATATGCTAATTCAGGCCATTTTCTACTTCAAGTCTCTGGAGCAAATTTTTACATTTACAGCAACATGTTTTGGAAAAGAAATGAGGTGAATTTTTTAGAATTAAATCCCAGCACTGACAAAAGCTAATTCAACGGGAAGAAGAGTACAGATGTGAACATCCATCCTCTAGACTCAGTATGCTGGCAGCACATTCGAGAAGAGTTTCCAAGCATTACAAAATCAAGCTGCAGTTTGCTCCAGAAACAAGACATGAGGATCATACTCAGGGAAGCTCCCTGTGTCCTAGAAGACCCCACAGAAGTAGAGTGTTATTTTGAAAGGCTCCAGCAAAATCCATGTAGGGAACTGAAATGTAAGTCAATTTGTGAATCCTGCTTTCATTGTTTCAGAGTTCCCCATAAATTGGAAAGAGAATCCAGTGAAATTGGTAAACTATTTCAACACTTTAATAACGCTCTGAATTTATACAACAGTATGACAAATTACTGTGGATGTACGATGTGCAATGGTTCTTTATTCTCTCCACCATCATTAAGGCACGGACAGAAGTAGGGGAAAAGTGTCTCCATGAAAAGACTACT